ACTAAGCCACCATGCCAGCGCCCACCCCCCAAAAATATTAAGCTTTGTCATATATTCTGTGCGATACATTCAAAATTTCTCTTTGGATCACCTCTTGCATTGAGGTACATGGCCCAGGTAAGAGCACACAGGTGTGTTACACATGTAAGCAAGTGAGTTGTTTTTCAAGTGCACTTGTTGTCCATGTAGTACACAGTTACAGAAGGGATTTATTTATAATTGCACTATACGTTGTCACCCAGATGAGGAAGCGTTCCCTTTTGAGTCTGGTTCCTCTCAAGGTTTCTTCCTTATATCTTCTCAGGGAGTTTTTCCTTGCCACTGTCACCTCTGGCTTACTTATGTGACGGATGTTAATAAGAGTGTGTACTCACAATCTAAATTAATGTATTTCACTAATGATCCTTCCTTTCAATTTTCATGTATTTAATTTCTATTAGTTTGTTCACGAAAATGTTATAATTTAGTTTTGTACTTTATTTGTATCATTTTTGGGAAAAGAGTTTTATATTCATTTTACGTCGTGACGTCATTTCTGTTCAGCCCGTGCTGCGTCCTCAGACCGTGTTGTGCACGCTGAGGAGAGGTAAGCAGTTAGCAGTGCTCCTTCAATATAAGTTTGTAAAAGTTACCAGAAGTTTTATTAAGTACTTAACACGCAAAAATATTATTGTTGAGAGTGTTGTAAATGTAATAGGAATCATTTTATGCATGGATGGATGAGATTTAATCATTTTATTACCGAGTACAGCGGTTTGAGTGTATGTATGTGCGTTAGCAGAATACGGTGATTTTAGCTAATCAATTAACTGGTGTTTAATCTGTCCAGGTGGAAAAATCACAGAATGAAATCATTTCCCATTGTTGTACTCTCTTTCTATTCCATCCAGCATCTGCATGCTCCATGTTAATAATCCCTCCATCAGCAGCAGTTCCCGTGATCCGCCTCTTCATTTGTAACACAACGCAGACCGTAACACTAGTCACATTTACGTGGACACTTTTTGTTTCAATCGGAATGAAATCAATCAGCTTGATTAATCCGATCGCAGTGTTTACAAGAACGCTGAATAAAGTAATCGGGTTGATATGCGCGTTTACATGACAGAATCGGATTTGATCTTCTGACATGCGCACAGTGCACGAATACACGTTTCCCGCCGTTCCAACATGCAGATACTAGCAGCCACTCTCTTGCCATTGCTTCTTTTTTTCGTTTTAAAAAGCAGACT